TGTATATATATATATATATATATATATATATAAAATATATGTATATATTATGACATAATATAATTCTATTTTTATTTAAAATTGAATGCTTGTTATCTATGAAATTATAGGTAATCATGATTTTTCAAAAAATTGTATATATAATAATATTAAGTTAAAAATTTAAAATATTCATTTTATAATTTATTATTATAAAAATATTTTTTGCATTTTTCAGGTTTTGATAAAGTTGTTGTTAAGCAAGAACATCCCGATGAAGCGGAAATCCGAGAATTGGCTGCCAAAATGGTGGAAGCAAATAAGGCGAAAATGGTCAGCGGGATACCAGGAACACCGCAACAACAAAGGCCTCCACAATGTCTCCTTCCACAATCAAATCTTCCTGGTATTTTAGGATATTTGAATAAACGACCGGCAGATTCATCAACTGCTGTGGCAACGAAACCTCCTTCTACTGAGGGCAAAGTACCGCCTGATGATGAGAGTCAACGAGGACGTTTTGGATGGACAAGCTTTGACGATTGTCATATACCATATATATTTCGCTCAGGCGAGAAGTATTGTGCTGTACGAATCTTAGAATCTAAGTTGTTGAACAAGTACCTGAGTTACCTACACTCGGATATCTACAGTTGTACGTGTATAAGAAGTTATTATATTACGGAAGCGGAAAGCAAATTATTCACTGATATAAATGTGAAACATTGTGAAAATCAATTTGGAAGAGAACCATTTACATGTAAAGATCTGGTGGTTCGACTTTCGGACGCGAAGGAGTTTTATACATTTTTGGACGTGTGTTATACGAAATTAACAGCAGGCACGAATCCTAATGTGTCAAGTGGGCATAAAGCCGACAAATGTGGGTTTATTCGAATAAACAAGGAATCTGTAGTACCTTATACGGTAAAAGACGGTCTTCAATATGTCCCTTTGTTTTACTTTGAAGGCGAGACTGAGAATCTCAAATTAAAAGCGGAGAAATTGGAAGGTTGGGACTTGTCGTATTTAAAATTTTGTTGCAAAGTACAGGGTATTCGTAATGAATTGTTCGCAAGTGAGACATGCTCGGTGATTAGTTTGAATGACATTAAAAGTTATTTTCCTCCCGGTACGGGATTTGAGGACTATTGGCCGACTAAAGTGATGGACTCTCAATTATTAGTGAATAGCAAAGGTGGTGGTAGCGGTGGTGGTTGGACAAAACAACCTCCGACACCGCCGGCGACAAAATCAGTTTCCGTACAAAATAGTGCGAATAAAGCGGCGGTTAATGCACGATCAACCCCTATGCATAATATGATACCACGTGGATCTGTCGCAAATACATCGCAAGTACAACAACGCGTCAGTCAACCCAGACCTGTTACAACGACCCATCCTGCGCATTCTTCACCAACAGCACTTCCTTCCGGAAGATCGAATATTGTTACACAACCAATGTTAAACACCGTGCAAAGTGTTAATGGTTGGACGGGTCTCGTTGGTGGTCAACCTACCTTCCAAACAGCACTTGTTTCTCAACCTAGTTCTATAATACGAATGCCCTCATCTTTAAATATGCACAATGTAAGTTCTTTTCAATAATATATTTTTTTTAATGATATAATAAAAAATGAAAAATATTTAATTATGAATATAAATTTAAAAAAATGTTTTTTTGGTGTGTTAGAATTTTAATAAAATATTGTTACAAAAGCAATTATTTCAAATAATCAAATCAAATTAATTTCTTATTAAAATTTTAATGCATATAAAAATTTAATATTTACTTATTATTTAAAATACTCTTCATTTCTTTTCTTAAAAGAATTAAATTTAAATAATAGTATAAAAAAATATTTTATTAATATAAAAATAATTTCTTTAATATATGTTGAGTTTATGTTTAAAGCCTTATAATTAATTATGATTAATTACTAATTATATTTTTCATAAATGATAGTATGAAATTTCATATTGTAGCAAATATCGACACCACCAAAAAATTATTCGCAACAATCTAGTAGGAGCAGAGGGGGTGGTGGTAGTGCAGCAGCTCAATACCCTGGAGTATATCCAGTTACAACTATGCAGAATGTTGCTCAGGCTCAGCCACCCCCTCTTGTCAGAGCAACAGTTCATTCCAGTCAACCTAATCTTGGGTAAGCAATAAAAGGGTTCTTAAAAACTATGTTTTTAATATATATCTATATATGTTTTTTTTAATTGAAGCTTTAAAATATTCAAGGCAAGAATTTTTTTATTTCTAATGTTAAGCATTTTTTCTTACACAGCATTATCAATATTTTATGCTTGCTTTCAGTTTAGTGATTAAAAACAGTAAATTATATATTAGATGTGAGTTAAAAAGCACGCTATATAAAATTTATTCAAAATTTATTCATATGTGTGTGTGTATATATAT